GGGCTGTGCTGGGGTCCCCACAGAGAGACCCCTCGGGGCTGTGCTGGGTCCTCAAGGAGAGATCCCTCGGGGCAGAGTTGGGGTCCTCAGGGAGAGGTGCTTGGGTTTATGCTGGGGGTCTCCATGGAGAGACCCCCAGGGCTGTGCCAGGCTCTCTGGGAAGAGACCAGTGCTGTGCCAGGGTCCCCATGGAGAAACCCCTCCCAGCTGTGCTGGGGTCCCCAAGGAGAGACCTCTTGGGGCTGTGCCAGGGTCCCAGGGCGAGATGCTGGGGGCTGTCCCAGGCTCTCTGGGAAGAGACCCAAGGGCTGTACTGGGGTTCCAGGGGCTGTGCTGGGGTCCCCATGGAGAGATGCTTGGGACTGTACCAGGGTCCTTGGGGACAGACCCTGGGGCTGTGTTGAGGTCCCCAAGGAGAGACCCTTGGGCTGTGCTGGGGTCCCTGAGCAAAGCCCTGAAGGCCGTGCCATCACCCCACCCCAGGCTGCCCTGGCAGTGGGACCACACACACCTCCTGAGCTGCATCATCAAGCATTAATCCAGCTCACTTTCCCATCTTCTCCCCCATTCCCTGCCCGAGCCTGCAGGTCTGTACTTTCTGTGTGAACTTCCATGCTGAAGGAGCCCCGTGCTGCGTGTCTGCTGCGTGTGGGCTGCTGGGGTGCTACCGAGGAATATTTGCAAATTCACTTCGGGCTCTTAAGAAGGCAGAAATAATCTTCTTTCCCCCATTGCCACTGGCTGCTGCACTAAAAATAGGGGCCGGCCGCGCCGCTTGCCACTTGCAGCATTTCAGAAATAAATACTTTGGAGCTGCAGCTCCCGGTGCTGCAGGAGAGGAGTCTCGCTAGGACTGGCATTTGATTACTGAACTTAACCTTGTTTTGCTCTGTGCAGGCATCCACAGCATTCCACGGCCCTGCCCCGATCCCTCTCCCTTCCCCTCCGGGATTTTCTCGCCCTGACAAGGGGGGAAATGCTCAGTTTTGGGGTTGGGGGTGGGGGGGATGCGATGACTTTTTGGCTTCTTGTCTCCCTGCAGTGCAAGGTGTGTGGGGGGGATGCACTGCCTAGACCTGAAGTGCATTTTATTTGACTTAATTTAACTCTTTCTTTTATTTAACTCTTTCTTTTATTGAAGGCATTGCAGCAGCTCTGGGCTCAGGGGATGGTTCTTGGCTGCTGAGTTCGCAGGGAGCTGTTGCCTATTTTCCCTTGGGTTTATATAAAAGTGCATTTCCTTTGCATTCAAAGGGGGGGAAACAACCCCAAACCCGTGAACTGAGGGCAGGGCAGGTGGCACCCTGTGCCTGGGGGTACTGGGTGGCTTTGGTGGGTAACATCCCCCTGCTAGCCTCAAATCCAAGGGTGGGATTTTTTTCCCCCCTCTCTCCTCATTTACAGAAGAAAGAGAAGTTTCCTTTGACCCTTTGGGGCCTTCAAGGGCAGGACTTTTCAGCTCTTTTCTTTGGAGGGGCTTTGGCTGGGGGGGTGAAAGCCTTTGGCTGCTTTGTCTCCCACCCCCAGAGGGTCCCTGTCCCTTTGTCCCTGTCCCAGCTGCTGCCCAGAGCACCTTCCTGGGGGAACTGCAGCACTTCGGGGATATTTGGGGTTTTTTTGGGGGGTGATTCACCACTGACTCTCTCTCTATGTTGTTTGGCTAACTAAAAAAGACAATTTAAATACATTATCTAATTATTTCTGATTACTCCTGAGAGAGCTCTGATGGCAGCATCTTATTCCAGGTCGATGCTTTTTTTCCTTTGTTGCTGTCACCTCTTCCCAACCTTTCAGGCCACGGAGCAGGGAATTAGTTTGGAAAAGGGCAAAACTACCTTTTTTTTTTTTTTTTTTTACCCCCAAAGCAGATGAGGGCAGAGGCTGAGAATTCCCAAACTCTCCTGGAAGTTGTCTCAAATAACAGCTGCATTTTTTATGAACATCTTGTGACAAAGGCTATGACTTTACAAAAAATCAGGCAGAGATGTACAAATCGTCCTGCTGTATCCAAGTGCTGGAAAAAAAGAGGCTGCCTTCAGAAAACAAAAGGATGTTTTGCCTGAGCGGTCTCATATGTCAAATAATCAAAGTAGGAGGCACTTGGCTGGTTTTAATCCACTTTGGTCCAAGTTTTCCTGGTTGGAGGTGTCCAGTTGATGGTCTGTCACCTGTAGGACACGGCAGCCCAAAGGGGACTGGGATTTTTTTGGGTGGGGAGGGTGCTGGGGGCTCCTCCTGCACCTTGGGGCACGGCTCAGCTTGGGAGATGAGGTTGGAAAAATACAGTTTCCATCTGGAATTGCAAAGGTCATTTTTCCTGCAGCGCAGCTCTTCCAATGTCAGATGGGCTGAAGCCATTTCAAACCCTTCAAAAGTCGCTTGCTGCTCTATTTAAAAGGAAAATGATGATATTTAGTAGAGGATCTTTTTAAGATAGACATTGTCAAGTGTTACTGCTTTTGCCATCCAGTCACAGTAATATTTTGTTGCTGCTGTTTTTAGGGAATGTGAGGTTTGGTCATGAGCAGGCTCTCCTTGGCTTTCAGGACTTCCTTAATTTCTTGGATTCTTGGGGGATCTGGGGTTGTTGGTGGTTTTGGGTTGGGTTTTTTTTTTATTTTTTTTTTAAATACAATCTGGTCATAAAAAGGCAGGGGCAGAGGGAGGAGGAAGGAGAAAAAATTCCAGCAGTCCTGACTGGAGGTTTATTGGAGTGGTTTGGGCTTTTGCTGGTACAGCTTGGCTTGTGTTCCTCAGTGCACTTTCTAGACCAAAAACTGTTACTTTTCTCACCATTTTCCCTCAGAGCCATATTTTGGGAGGGACCAGGTGTGTGGAGCATCTTGGTTCAAACTCTGATCTCTGCTGGGAGGTTGTACATGAGATCTGCCAAGGACTTTGGGAGGCTGGGGCACTCTGGTAGGACTTAAACCTACCCTAAACCAGCTCAGTTTTGGTGTTTTTAGGGAGACATGGGTTGCTCCTGGCATGCCTGGCTTGTTTATAGAGCAAATTCTAAGCCATATTAATAATTAATATCTATTTCAAGTTGGCTTGTTCTGTGCTACTGAGCTGTCCTTGGCTGGTCTCACACATCCTGCCCTGCTGGGTCCGAGGAGGTCCCGTCCAGGGCATTCCTGGTCTCTCCTCCAGTTTTTAGGGAGCCCTTTCTGGGAGAAAAGAGGAGGAAGAGAGATCCTTCTCCACCCATGGTCTGGGTGAGGCTTAAGCAGTGAAGTTTATTCTGTGAAGCACTTTTTTCTCGGTGATTCTCACAGGTCCACAGTGGATCTGTGTTTGCCAGGGCAGATTCCATCCCTCCACCAGCAGAGAGGGGTGGTGGGATGGTGGGAAGAGGTTTTGGGGGCTCTCAGGCTCGGCTGTCGAGGGGTCATCCCTGACCTCTTCATGGGATGTCACCTTGGGCCGCTCTCTTTGCCTTTGCCTCCTCATCAGCAGCAGGCAGAGATCCCAGTGAGCTGCTGTGGGGTCACTGAGCATTCCCAGTGCCCAGAGGTCCTGCTCTGATAGCGGGGTGGCTCTGCCAGGCATCAGGAGGCTGCAGGTCCCGTGGGATGCAAGAGCAGCCGTGCTGGGGGAGTTGCTGGAAGGACAGGGGAAAGGCAGCCCAGCCCTGGAGTTGAACTTCATGCACCAAACATCTCTCTGGATGTGGGAGTGGAGATCTGAGCAGCATCAGGAGGGAAAGGGTCACGCCAGAGCATGGCCAGCCCTGTGCTCCCTGCAGTTGCCCCTCCACTAAGGATGGGTTGACCTCCCACCTCCGAAATTTGAACTGTGTGGGACCATCCGAGCGGAGCAATTGAGCCAAGTTGGAGGCCAGTGGCAGAACTAAAAACACCCTGGGCAAGGCAGAAGTGAGCAAAGGGAGGCCCCACCCTCTTTCCCAGAAAAAAAGCACCAAACATGCTCAATAAATGCGAAGGTAATTTAAAATCTGAATCCAGGAGACAATGTGACTGGGATTTCATTACTTAAGCAAATGGATTTGCTTTTAGTGGATTCAGCCACAGACTGAAAGAAGCTTTCCCCAAGGGGTAAACATTTTTCCTGCATTTGAAAGGCTTTCTTGTATTGGGGAGGGGCTGGGGGGGGGGGGCAGGAGGCAGGACTGTGGCTGCTCAAGGAGCACCTTTATTTTGGGCAGATTTGGGCATTCCCAAAGCTCTGCTGTTGGGTGGGTGGTTTTTGGGGGGCTCTTGGGGTGGGATGCTGGGGCAGGTGGGAGGATGCTGAGGAGGATGCAGGGGGTGCTGGGGGGGATTCAGGGGATGCTGGGCAGGATGCAGGAGGTGTTGGGGTGGATGCAGGAGGATGCAGGGGACATGCTGGAGGGATGCAGGAGGATGCTGAGGGGATGCAGGGCTGATGCAGGAGGATGCTGGGGGTGCAGGATGATACTGGGGAGATGCTGAGGGCATGCAGGAGCATGCAGGGGAGATGCAGGACGATACTGGGGGTGATGCAGGAGGATGCTGAGGATACAGGGGATGCAGGAGGATGCTGAAGGGTACCAGGGATGCTGGGGATACAGGAGAAAGCTGGGGGGATGCAGGGGATGCTCCCCACCCCTGCTCAGTGCCTTCCTCCGGCCGCAGGAGTTAACCAGCAGCAGTGCCAGCTCTGCAGACTGTTTGGAATAGTTTAAATGCTTTGACACTCTGGATGTACTAGATGGCAGGGGAGGCAGTTTACAGCGTAATTCATATGCAAAACTGCACTATAAATTTAAAACCTGTCTCAGTTGCCGTGGCACCACTAAGCATTTCATCAGCATACAGTACAGTATTTCTGCCATCTTTGTTTGCATTGCAGTGACTCATCAAAAGTCTGTCTTGTACCAACACTGAGAGCATTCCTCTGGCACTGATATTTCTCTGTTTTTAAAGCTTCGGTTTGAAACTGGCATTTACTTCAGGTCCCTAATCAAAGGGCTCTATTCATTGCAGAGAGCAGCCTGAATGTTAATCTGCATCCGGCCTATTCATTTAGATGCTGTGCGCTGCCGGGGAGATTTGACTTGGTAAAAGCTTCAGCTCCAGCAGATACAAACCCAGGGCTTGATACTCTGTTTTATTTCCCCCCCCCCTCCTCCTCCCTCCCCTGAGCCCTCGGCGGCAGCGATCGGGGGACCCGGAGCCCCCTCGGCGAGCGGAGGCTGCTCAAGGTACGTTCGCTCCCAGCCGGCCGAAGGCACCGGGAACTTCCTCGCTTGGAAGGAATTTTTTTTTTTTTTTTTTTTTTTTTTTTT